AAGGAGGGAGGGAGAGAGGGAGGGAGAGAGAGGGAAGAAGGAAGGAATGGTGAGAATATTATGCTCTCTATATTGCTATTCTTATTATATGATTATTTTCTTTCAAGGCAGCAGTACTTCATTTGAAGTATTCTTGCTACAGAACGGGATCGATCGGGCAGAGATTGATTTTGAACAACCTGACACTGGGGCAACTTACATGTGGACATTAAGACCCTTTGATGATCCAGACAACCCAATACCGATAGATTTGACTAGTCTACAGTATAATTCAAGTGGAGATATATTTGCATTGAAACCAACGGTGGCCAACCAAGGTCTTTACTCTTGCAGAACTACAACCAACCAGCAGCAGCAGTGTCCCAGGGAATACTGTGTTAGACTCATGAGTGAGTTAATATTGTTTTATCTGTATAGCAGCATAATGTAAATGGCTGGAGTGGGTCTTATGCATTTTCTAATGCATATACATGTTTTTTTGCTACAGTATAATGTGTAGAAAGGTTGAGGTGATTCCAGTTAAAATTTGATTTTTTAAATGAATTTTTGAAGTTGCTCAAAAACTTTGCCAAAGACCCTGTACTATTTTTTCAAAAATGGCCAGGAGAAATTTTCCATTTAATTCTGATTTCTGATGCATATACATGATCTGCTGTGCAAAAAGTTTGAATTGATTTTTTATAAATTTTTAAAGTTGCTCAAAAATCTGGTCAAAGCCCCTGTACTCTTTCTCAAATTTTGCCAAAATTGAAAAGGAGAGGATTCTCCATTTTTATAATTTTTTTCTGATTCATATACATGTAGATGTTCTTATGTTGTGCTAAATGTTTGAGCTGATTCTTATTGCAATTGAATTTTTGAAGTTGCTAAAAAATTTCACTAAAGACCTTGTACTATAGTACAGCTAGGGTATTTCATCAAAAATGACTAGGAGAGAATTCTCCATTTTCTGATGCACATACATGTTCCTATGCTAACTGATTTTAACCAAAACCTTTAACATTATTTAATTGTTATTTTTTATCATTTATATTGTATTGCTATAGGCTCTCCAGTGATTACCATGTTTAGTGCCACTTATTTTGTGGAGGCCAATTTAACTATCTTTAGTTTGGAAGTAACACACAACAACAACGCTAATGTCACTACCTGTCTACCTGTCAACGTTTTGTCCTTTGAGAGCAATGACATTTCAGTAACTTGCTTTTCTGAGAGATTTAGCAACTGTTTTAGCAGTGGTAATAATGCAAGAGAATTCAGTAATAATCACGAGTCTATAGGAAGTGGTTTTAATTACAATTTAACTGTTTCTCCTCCATATACCGCTAGTGATGTGTTCAATTTGTCTGTAACTGTTAGAACTAGTGTTACTGCTTCTTCTCCTGGCACTTCAACTAGATTGATTATATTCAACTTCAAGGTATTTTCAACTTCTGCTACGCTTACAGTGATATCACCTGGTGAGAGAGAGGGAGAGAAGGGAGGGAGGGAGGGA